GAAAGAGAAAAAAAAAAAAAAAAAAAAAAAAAAAAAAAAAAAAAAAGTATTTGCTGGCTGACAAGAGAAATGTGAAGAGGTTACACATGTCCCAAGGAGGCCTGAGAGAAAGCACTTGTCTGGCCAGAGAGGGCTGGACAGTACTGTAACACCTGGACAAAAAAAGTTACCGACTGAAGCCTTGAAAAGCAGCACCCTGCAAAGAGGTCTGACAGCAGGGAGATGGGGAGGGTGGAAGGAAAACTGTTTCACAGCAGTTCCTGAGCTGCAAAATGACAATGAAACTGAAACAGAAAAAGGCTATTGAGTCATGACTTAGAAGCTCCAGAAATTTTTTAAGGTCTGAGCTCACAAATGCCTAATTTTAGATGCCAGAAAGTTTGAAGTTTCAGGTTTTGCTTTGTTTTGGTGTGTTTTTTAGAACCAACTGCAAATTATTCTAAATATTTAACATTTGTTAAATTGAAGAATGTTTGCAGTGGTTTGAAAAGAAATGATCACCAATTTTCACAGAAATTATCTTACTAAAATTGTGGTTACTTACTGAAGCCAAATTCTGCTTTCATTTACAGTTACTCTTCTCCAATGTCATCAATGAAAACATATTGGGTGTTGAAGGAGTCCATTCAAGTATTAATTTGGATATTTAATGCATATAGCCTATAATTATACAAAATACTGTAATCTGATTTAGCTTGTTCTACAGGCGCCACGAAAATAAGTTAGAGTAGTTATTGCATTATGAAACTGAATTTTTAAAAAACCATATATTATTAAAGGCATGTGAAATGCATACATTGAAAGCTTGCCTAAATCCTAATAACATACATGTCTCAGTGATTTTCAATATCCACAGGACAAATTATTTTCTAACATACTCAACTCAATAAACCACTGGATTTCCCATTCCATCTTTTGTATATCTTATACATAATTACTTGGGACACAGAAGAATGTACAATTTCTGGACTTATGCAGCTGCAAAAGTCAGTGGTATAACTCAGAACAACATTTATATTTATCTAATTAAGGGTACCAAGTCACAAAGCCATAACCATCTCTAGACACAATTCAGATGCAAGAGAAACATAATCCTCAAACGCGTATCCTCTTTTTTGTTCATCATGTCTTTCCCCTAAATCATTCCTAAACTCATTCCAATACTCAGAAGACTTTTCTGTTTTGAGGAAGTATTATCCTCCAGATAAGTGCCATGACTCAGACAAACAAGAAACCACAAACAATGGCCACCAAAAGTCTTTGGCATCTTGACTACCTTCCAGGTTGCAGTATTATTAGAATACACTTAAATGATGGAGCAGAAGCAGTAACATCATATGGCAAGCAGCTCCTTACACTCACTGAGGAATCAACTACTCCTGCAAATGCTGGGAAAAGTTAAGGGGTACTTCAGATTAAGACACCTCAATGTACGTGTCTATATATTTGTGTTTACATGCTGGCTAGGTCTTGAAGAGACGATTTTATCCAGTGGAGGCAGAATTTAGTTTCCTAAACATAGGTTTCTAGAGCTCTTTGAGATATCCTGCTATATCCCAACTGGCCTCTAGCTACAGGTCTAGAAGAACATGGGTCTCTCATAGATCTGGTGTCTCCAAGAACTCCACATGCATGTCCTGGATACTCTAGCACACCTCAGATGTCACTCAAATGCCACCTGACTTTAGGAAACTGAATCAAAAGCCCTCGAGATCTAGTTAGTATAGTCAAGGGATCTTGAACAGCAATGTTTCACACCTGACATAGAGACATAAGAAGAAAGTCAGTTGACCATATAGAACATTTGAGACACTTAACTATCTGAGATATCTACATGGGAATAGCAGATACACCACAGGACCTAAGGAAACTTGCTTCTCACTGCATATGCTACTGGATATGCTGTGTCATCTCAGATCACACTAAGCGCCTATGCTGGACAACTGAATAGCTCAGTACTACAAGTGATCCGAACTGCTCCCCCAGCCTCACCCGCTGTATTGACTAGCCCTCCAGGCCTCACATCTGACGCTAAACATGTTTACCACCATTTAAGATGCACCCAAATTGTGCCAGTTGTCCTGTGCTTCAGCTGGTGAGAAAAACTAACAATTTCATCCTGCAAAATCCTATTCATCAGGCTCAGAAAAACATGTATCAGGTAAAGGTTTAACTTCCACTAACAGCTTCTATCAATAATTTGTTAAATAATCATTATTTCATAAAACACAGCAACATTCAATCACTGTGGGCCTAATTCTGTGGGTCATGCTTAAATACATTTAAGCCCAGCCTTCTTTCTCCATATAACCATGTGGGAGCAATGACTGACATGACAGAGGGGAGCTGAGGAAATTCAGATCCTTGCTAGTGGTGAGCAGTTAGTGGTTTCTCCTTTACCCTTAGTGAACGGGCCTGGGCTAAGCTGTGCACCCTGTTTAGTCCAGGGCCACATTAACCCTATTCATGTCTTCTGTTCCTCGTTAGGATTTGCAGAAAGGCAGATTAGATCCTAGCAGTCTTTTTGGGTTTTGTAAGAAATTTTTTTTTCCAGTCATAAATCCAGTGCAGGATATTCCTTAATGATCCATGCTTTTTTCTATATGATCATGTAATTTTCTGATCATTTAAAATGACTGCACAGCAGGGAGTTTATCGCTAACAATGCTGCAGTCACTAAATGGGAATTATCTGTCATCTGAATTACATCATCTACAGCCACAGCCATTGTGAAAGCCTCATTTGGAGAAGCAATTTAACACCACACACTGTAAGGCTGCATTATACCGTACACAATCCCACCAGTGTACAACAACCACAGTGCCACCTAGTGTGACCCACGTTACTGTCGCTGGGGCTAAAAACAATGCTGAAGTGTTAGGAACTGCTTGAAAAGGCTGAGTAGCGCTTGCTAAAATACTCGTATCAACAGAGAAATTCAGATCTGGAATGAAAAAAAGATTTTAAACTTTTTTTTTTTTTAATATATTTTAACATTCAACAGAAGAATTCTGTAGACTAAAACAAGACCAGTTTGCCCAGACATTAGAAGAAATACACCAACCATTGTCTTTAATGTTTAAAAACCAAGCTATTTTTTTCCTCTTACTCCACAGAGAGGAAATTAGACAGCAAACAAACTACACCTTCAGCTTCAGTTTACATCAGCAGATAAGATACATCATCAAAACCTTCATATACACATTAGAGAAGAGGTATAATCTTTATTTTTGCGCAGCCTATATGTAGTGCTAAGTTGACACGTTCATCATAACTGTACACAAGAATGTGACTGAAAACATACTGTCAAGCAAAAGTAGGCTTACCTGAAAGTGCAAAATTATGGTCCATATCAAGCCCAAAGTCAATTTGGGATTCCCATCTGTTATGTCATCATTTCTGATGTTAACCAGTTTCACCTGCCATTGTGGAAGGAAAATACAGACAAAATAAACATGCCACCAATACATGCTCCACTACACAGGCGCAACTATAAAGGATGCATTACTCACTTCCCAAGTCTACTCTGTTTTTTTAATTCTCAAAAGCAGAAAGGAATTGCATTCTGGCTGTAAGTGGCCCGCCAGTGTCCCTTTCCTACCCACTCTGAGCTGAAAAGATTCCTCAGCTGTCACTACACCAGCAGATCTGCTCCCCATGCCAAATATCCTTCATCTCTGACCATGCCAGAGGGGGAAGGTATGATAGAGGGGGAAAGGATAACAAGAAGGTGATGATCTGTAACTGATGTATCCGTCTCAGGGCAGTGCTGAGACCCAGGAAGCTATCGCTGCCTTTTCTCCTCAAGAATTCAGCAGCAGAACTGGCCTGCTAAAACACAATGGTCTGGTTTGATAAACCCAGGAATTTAGTATCACATTTAAATAACCAATGGCTTAATAATGACAACAATTGTTATTGCTTCTGCTGCTGTACTCATTCACAATGCTATAAGCATGAAATGGTTAATAAGATTAAAACAAAGGCTGACATTTTTGCCACTCCAATAAACTCACATCCAAAGCGAGTTCAATAATTCTATTTTCTTTGCCATATTTTATTATCACATTTGATTTCTCTATATGCATTATGTATCCATGTAGCCTAGCAATTAAAGATGACTCAGCTAAAAGGCATTTGATGCTTACATTAGTAAAGTTACATACACGTGCTTTTTAACATATACCCTGTTATAAACACCAAGCAAGCAAAGGCATATCCTTCTCTTGATCTGCAGACATAATCTTAACTATTAGGAAAAAAACCCAAAAAACCAAACCAACCAAAAACACGGGATGAAAGAGAGCGTATTCCACAGTTCAAAAAAAGAAATTAAAAACAAATCCAAATGTTTTCCTCCCACTGCATTACAAAAACTGTTTGTGTTTGGCAAAACTCTACAGGATAGTCAAATATGCCTTCTCTTTGTTTTTTTCTTTGTTTTTTTTCCAAGTCATGCTTCAAAATTATCAATATATAGGATCTCTCTGCCTTACAATCACAATAAAGCATTGTATTTGGAGGCTATACAGCCAACCTGAGCAAGTTGCCTCCTAAATACTGTTTAGAAACACCTACGAGGGGGCTGAAACTTTAATCAAATGCAAGTCCCACTGGCAACTTGCTAAGAAGACCAAAGGCCTACAAGCGTTTTGAACAGTAGGGTACAGCCAGCTTCACGAAATCGCAAGGCTAAAGAGAGCACAGAAATCCTGAGATCACAATCAACAGCTGCATGACGGAGACTTGCAGTTCCCAATGACACGTGCACATTCACAAACATGAGGATGACCTGATCCTCAATCTCCTGCATTTTAATATGATGGTCTGTCATGCATAAATAAGGCATGGTGCAGTACAAGTCCAGAGGTTTTGCTGCATAAAAACGCTGCTGTGACTGTCAAGTAGCCATTCATTTACTTTGTACTGTTATTTGATCAATGGCTCACTTAGGTTAACAGGAAAAGTTAGCTTTGAACTCAGCAAAACAGGATTGAGTTCTCAGTGCACACTTCACTCAGTGACCCGAACGATAGTTTGCAATTTCACTCAAAATACGAAAAGACATTTGTTTTTATAACCAAAGTATCTGTCTATGGTTTGCTACCTCGTATTTTTTTCAAACCTCTTGAGTAGCAAATAAAATAAATTTAAAAAAAAATCAACCAATCAGAAAGCAGATTTCTAGCATCAACTCATTTAGATGGGATGGATAGGGAGGTACAGTTTTACCTTCCATCCATGTTTGGGACATTTTTTTAATATTACCATTTTGCAAAAGGAGAAAGCAAGAATCCTGTAAGTGTTTAAAAGAAATTTAAAAGTGGAAAGAAACTCACAGCAGCAGAAAAGCACCCAGCTGTGTGGGTTTCAATTGTTTGGCTTAAAGGAGATACAGGTGAAATTAAGCCTGAACCCTCCACAGCCCCGGTAACCCTGCTGCCTTACTAGGGCACCAGTTTTGCTTTCACCAGGATCAAATATAATCAAAACAAGGAACTCCCACACGATGTTCTAATTTCTCTGCATCTGCATTTTGCACTACATACTAGATTGTGAACAAAACCGCGCATCAGCTAGTGTGTGGGCAGCATGAAATATAGTTAAATCTACCAAAAGCAACTCCTGAGGATCTTACCCATAATTTTCTCCTCTTTAACAACATATACCACATGGAGTGTGTTCATGTTATTGCTCAGAGAAGGGTGGTGTAAAGTTACCTTTACCACTTCTCAAGCACGAGATCAAGCCAGGCCTACACTAGCAGCTGTTATACAACATGCATAAAAGACCAAGCAGGACATATTTTTTATTTATTAGCTACAGGTGACAAAATTTTCATTAACATTTTTTATTAAAATTTTCACCATACCTGGCGTTTTTTCAAATAATCAAGTGCAATTTGAACGTTCTGCAGTCTGTGAAAACGCATCCGACCTTTTTCTCGGGGCTAAAATCGGAAAACAATAGCTGTGAGATTTTCTTGTCAGACAAAAGAACAAACAGTCCGATTTAAAAGATACCACGTAAAACATTTGAAGCACCACTGTTTTAACGAAGCCAATACCTTTGCTGGAAAAAGTGTGCTTTAACAATTTTTCTTTTTTTTTTTTTAAACTGTAGTTGAAATTTTTTAGCACAGTGGATGGCAAGAGAGATCAGTGGTCCCAAACTGCAACTTTGATCCATACAGGCTGATAGGTGTTTCCCTGTAAAGTACTACTAAGGCCAAGTGGGCTAAAAAAGGCCCTACATGAATCTACCTTCAGAAACTAAACTGCAATATATTATTATAAACAATTTACAGTATATTAAGCAAATTAAAATATAAGTAACATCATGGACCTTTATGTTGCTCTGGTAAACTCTGTGATAGAAAAGCTTACCTCTGCATGCAACTTTATGATTTACTGTTGTTTATTTACAGTATGACTGCAGAATCATCAGGATATCAATACATATTTATTTAAAGCATCTAATAAAGATAATACCTTCCTCCAAACAGAATAATATAACATATACAGCCCTAGAGTGTCAGATTAAACTCTTGATTTGGGTAGAACATTATAAAGTGTGAAAACACCTAACAAGTCACTCTTCTCAAAGCAAAGGCAAAACTAGCAAGAAGAAACTGCAAAATAAGCATGAGTGGTGTGTTAATGGAAACATGGCAAAACTGCATGCAGTTAGTGTAAAATCACCAAGAAGAAGAATCACACAGAAAAAGCATACTTTACTTAGCTGTCACAGATCAGCAATGGGAAAGCAGTTAAATTTATATCATCATCATCATATCCAAATCTTTCTACTCTTCTTCCTTATTTCAGATTTTTCACAAACTTTGACAGCAATAAACTGGAGCGCAGTATAATTGCTAGGGATCAGCCATGAATATGAGTATTTCCTTACACAGTCACTGTGAAACACACAGATACAAGCCCAAGCCTTCCTCAACTGCCTTTTTTTTTTCCCCCTGCGGAGTATCAGATGCTTGCCAAAAGGAAACATGGGAATATGGAGTTGAATAAGAAGCATAAACTAAAACACAAAGAATTTCAATTTCCATTATAGAACCTTCAAATTAGCCCCTTTTTTCACACCAATAGCCCAGGATCAAGCCCTGCAGCCCTTGCTACTGAGTAGCTTCCCTGGATGGAATGAAGGACTGCAAACCTGGAACTTAGTTTTCCATAACAAAGAGAATATAATAAATCCCAAACTATATATTTAGGTATATCATCTCAGAGGGGAAATATTTTTTTCCAATGGACAACTAAAATGCAGTGTTTTGAGTTATGTTATGCCCCAGAAAAAAAGCACACAAATTCCACTGAAATCACAACTGCAGCACAACACACGGGGAGCAAAGGTGGCACTCGGGCCCTACGACAGCAAGTTGCTTTAGCAAACGCTAATGATGCAAGGTCTACAAAGACATGATACAGCTCACTTGGACTAACAAGCACTCAGCATTTTATGCTTTGTAAGTAGATATTTCCCTTCTGGATGGTTAAAATACAGTGAAACAATAATTCAGCATTTGTTGCAAGAAAGATAAAACCCGCAAACAATCCATGTACTTGGAAGCCACTACACAGAGCTGTCACTTAACTTCTACTTTGACTATCTGCTTTTGTAAAAATAAGTATTACATTTGATAAATTCTAACAAATAGATCTGCGCATCTGAATTACCTCATTTCAAAATATTATCCAGTATTGTCAAATACACTGTGGGTGCAGTAGACTGGTGCTTCTAATTAAGACAAATCAAATTTTTGCCATTGACTTCACTAAGAAGAGACTTCAAGCCTTTGTCTAAATTACTTGTATATGGGCAATACTGTTTGCAAGTAAAAAAAGTAAAATCTTGGTTTAATTGAATTATGGCACTTATTTATTAAAACAGATTATTTTATAACATCTTGATAATGTTGTCCAGTACACAATTGTACCATGGTTTTGTACAGTTTAACAAAAGAAAACAAATAGAAATCTTGAACATTTGCATTTTAGCTGTTCGCAGAAAGGCTGAACAAAAATTTGTCTTTACCGTACCTCCATCATAAACATATGTATCCTGGTTTACCAATGTGAGTTCTTTTGTCCTTTCTACAGCACACTACTGCAGCACACAGAACTAAGAATTTACGTTAGCAGACACCACACTTCAAACACTACATTAGTACAGTTATGGGGGTCGGCACCTACCCCCTTATCCTCATCCTCCACATCCTCATGCTGTTCATTTGCGCATGCTTCTGTTGAACTCACCAACCGTAAAGTCTTCAAAAAATCTCGCTCTCTTGGCTAATGAATATAACAGACAGGAGACAGGACAGCAAAAACACAAGACAGACCACAAATGAAAAGAAGAGCATGAAAAGAAGAACATAATGAAGAGAACAAATACCAAGCAAGGGAAGTAATGCTCACAAAGAAAGGAAATGACACCTGAGGAGCGTGTTAGACAATTTCAGGGACATTTTATCCTTGCTATTTGTAAGCTACTCCCTTTAATATGAAGGGATATTAAGCATCCTATACTTGTTAAAAGAAAAATTGTAAAGAAAAGGGAAGAACAGAAGAAATAGCGCATTACCCTATTAAGAAAGGAAGCCTCACTGACCACAAGAAACGAAGAGAAGAGATTGCATTCCCCCACAGAATTCACGATGGAATATTTTACCAATAGAAAAACAACTTGTGTCTTTGGTATCAAGTCACAGATTATGGAAAATATCAAAGAAACCTCCAGCAGTTGATATGTAAAGAGTTGACAAACAGAGCAAATGTATATATAACAAACTGGAACAACTGCATTCTGATCTAAAAGCTTACCAAGGTGTCTCCAGAAAGGACTTCTAAAAGTGAGATCAAGTTATGTCCATCTCTTAGGTCTTCATATAGGTCATTCACATGCTTTCGAACCTGAACAGATAAACACAAAAATTAAATATACGACCCCCATTTATACCTGAGAATTCACACTCAACACGTATCTTTTAATATACAGATAAACCTCAGATGTATCTCAGCATGGCTTTTCCAGTTTATTCACTTTCATGACAAATTTACAAACCCAAATTAACTGTAACAGACAAAATTCATTTCTATGTCTGCACTCAGACAGTTCATTCACATTTTATTTCATTTTACTGAAAAGGAAAAGAAAAGTAGTACGAAGTTATGGGTAATGAATGCATATAGCAATGACAAAATCAGTATCTGACAATTTAAATAACCAATACCAGATACCCACCTATTTTGACCTAAATAATGACTACCAACAGACAACACTAGCTAGATCCAATGAACTGTAAAAAACCACACAGAGCTAAATCCTTTCTTGACATATGTATTATCCTCAGCATGTCAGTTTACTGTAGTCAGGCCAAAAGTTAACACCCTTTCTGGCCTTAAACTTTTGACTAACCAAAGCATACTATCCACCAGTTAACAACATGTTTTGTCACCTCAGCTTTCTCAGTACTTAATGAGTTTTCCCAACGGCTCACACATCTACCTTACAAAACATACCAAAGAAATAAGACATTAAGTTGATCTAGTGAAGCCAAGGACACGCAGAGCCCTTCCCACCAGCCATGCCAGTGGCAGAGGCTAATGCTCCCTACAGCTCAGCAGCAACACCAGCAGTCACCAACCCAACAATCCCCTCCTGTGGTGCCCCTAATAGATAGTCAGCCTTTGCCAGCTGACCTCATTCAACTAAATGGGGTTAAGAAGGGCTGATAACCAGCAGACCCTATGAGGCCAACCATGAGCAAGGGTACAGATGTAATGAGAAGAGACAGCCAAAAGACCTAACTTTTCTGACAGGCAAAACAAAGCTGGGACATGTCTGTCCACAGGCCAACTTCTTGTTTCTTAGCATTAGTTTAAATATAACTTTATCTGAAATTTCTTTAACAATTTCAGCCAGCTACTCTTTAAACGTGAAACAAAGGACCTCATTTCTCAGAAGCAGAGATTTTTGACACTGCCAGCAGGACAGAGGTTGAGGGCTTTCCAGCTACAATTTAATGTTGGCTCTTTGGCATTCCCATTAGGGCACCAGATCAGAAACTTCCTAAGCTTACAGAGGATAAAATGCAACATCAGAAATTTCTTCTAAAGTTATCACCTCTGCTAGAGATGAACTGTACTGATCTATGGGACACTCCTCTGACTACCAACATTTCTGTGTGTATGATGAGGGCAGCAGGAATCGACCCAGATCTTTGACTTCATACAACAGCTCTGTTTACCTGACTTCCAGTGGAATTTCTAGATCCATCCTGTTGAATAAATAACTGTCTCCATACTGGTGATTAGCTTCATAAATGCTTTTTAGTTCAGGTTTTCTTACTTCAACTTTTAAACATGAAATTACCCTGCAATATGTTTTCACAAAGACCATCACCTTAATTGAGAATAATATCAGAGCATATTTATGCTCATGCTGAAGACTAGCCAGAACAAGTCATACAGAAGACTGTTCCATAAGGAATTCCAACTAATATTTTCCAAAACTTTTATACAGACTCTGCTTATAGGTCAAGTTATATAGCAGTACTCTTATACATATACATAGCTTCACACGTACACATGCATACACACAAAAAAAAATTTTAATTTTAGTTGCGATTTAAGAAAAAAAAAATCCTGTAAGCAATTAATTTAAAAAGATTTCCAAGACAAAAATTCTCTGGTAATGTTGAAGTACTGTCAAGCTGAACAAAGAAACAGAACAGATGTTCCCCTACTACATCTGTGGTGAAAAGAAAGAAAAGGGAAGCCATGTAGATATCATTAAAATCCCTGATATGAGATTTGATTATGCTAAATGCTTAAAAGATGGAAAGCACAAGGGTCTAATTTTTAACCCAAACCAACTGTGACTTTTTATTTTTCTATTCAAAGAACTATGCCAAACAGAGTGCTAAACTCTTTCTGACAAAAGTAAGCAAGTTTTCTCTACAATAAAAACCTGACAGAGGGTTCCCCGCTCCTCCTTGCCCCGCCAGGCAGGATGGGCCACTCTCCACTTCCCTTAGGAGAACAGAACCCCAAGCCAGACCAGATCCACAGCACACGCTGGTGGCCAGAGGCACGGGAGGACATCAGATCAAGGACGAAGGAAGGGGGTGTACATCTAAAAGACACTGCACCAGCACAGCTGAAGAAGTATCTGTGCGGCACAATGCCCACACTCTTTTCAATATAGAACTCATAGGAGTTGCCCAGCATGCAGGTATCTGAACTGTGGGATGAGAAAATACGACCATCTCTAATCTGTCTGCTTTTATTTTCCGTTAGATGCAGGATAATTTTGTTACCCTGTTGGTCTGTCTCTCACAACACACATTTGGTGACCTTCTGTTTGGTTTTTTTTATACTCTGAGGTTTCCCCAAGTATTACAGACAACTCTCTTCCCCAACTTATCTTTCTAGAAATCACAGATGCTTCAGAGATTAACTCATACTGTGTATGAAGAAAATGGCATAGAGCTGTCAAAACAGGAATATGAGCAGTACACCTTAGACATCTGTCTTAGCTCTGCCATTGGTTGACAATTACTGTGAGGATTAATTATTTAGGACATACTACGTTGGTATGCTGGTACAGGACAATATCATAAAGAATTTCTTCCAATACTCTGAGCAGCAGAAGTGCACCTAAAAAGATGGATTTGGTCAACTGACATGCAGCAAGCACACTCACTCAAAGCACTTTTTTTAAAAGGAGCATCTTGTGCTTCTCAAAAGATCCCACACTGCCACTTGAGGAAAACCTTGCAAAATCATCTCTCTTTAAGTATTACTTGGGCAAGTCTTGTCTCTCAATGTATATAATGAATTCTTAGATCTTTAAACTTACAAGAAACAAATATTACTATTTCATTGCTGTTTTGCTGCCACATTCAGCGTCCTTCAGAACGCGTAGTACCGCAAGTAGTAGATGCAGATGGGGTCTCTGGATGGATCTGTGGGATCTGCTGAGCACCATGGCATTTCATAACAGTTCTTGTGGCTTTTCAATAAAATCACAGAATTGTCAGCCCTACACTTTGCAAGGCCCATGTGCAAAGTAGATAACATGCTGCCTCGGGCAACTTTTTGCAATATACCCACGTGAGTGTGGCAGATTTGATAATTTGGGCATGAAGAAGAGATTCTTTAAGGAAGACGTGGGAGATAGTGAGTGGCTGAGAAGCAACTGACAAAAACAAGAGAAGCAAAATGGCTTTAACAGTCAAAAGAAGACAGGGAAAATTTAAGGCACTGTTTCAGAAGTGATTCATCTTCTGGCACATTTGTGCTTCTATGATGTTTGTGGTAAGAAAAGCTCCATTCCCCTCGGTAAGAGCATGAGACATTTCCATATCATACTTTCCCAGTAAGCTTAAGCTTTGCAGTCCAGTGCCTTCAGGAACCTGCACTACCACTAGTAAAAAACAGCTTTTAAAACTGTAGCAGTCACAGAGCTGCGATCTTGCCCCTGGACCCCAGCATGTTAGGCACTTGACAAACGAAGATCATGAAGGTGGCTGCCGCCTCCAAAGTTTAACACCCCGCATAACTCGCATAGCTTTATCCTACTGTTCAGCTAACACATCTGGTTGTCCTTACAATCAAGTTGCTATAGGTTCCAACCTCATGTAGTGTTCTGCTTCTGCAGTTAAAGACCCTGGCTTGGCTTCCTCCTCTGTGGGCTGGCATCACAGCAAATCTGTCAGCACTGCCTTCAGCCTGCCTGGTTCTTGTTTCCACTGACAGAGAACGAAGGCATGATACAGCTGCCTGGGCACACATCTATAGGGCTGTTTTATGTTTAGGGGGTATGCCACTTAGCCTCCACCTGCTTCTCCAGAAGCACTAAGGTTTGCCTAAGTCCTGCTAGCCAGTCCCCCACAGATGTCTGGCCTGAATACCCTTAAACATCTCAAACAGCCCTAGATGGCCATATTCAGGGAACTGAATTTGCACATAGTGATCTCCATTTTTGCCAGGGGTGACAGCAGAGTACAAGCCACCTTCCATAGCAAGCCTGTTTCTTACAGTTTTTCTTGATATTATTAGTTGTGTTGTACTGATACTGGAAAAAAATCTATAGTTTACACGATAAAACCACAGGCTGCTGATGCTTGTATGGGTAAAAGGGGAAGGACTGTCCCCCTTCTGCTTCTGCAAGCAAAAGCAGCTTGGTCTTGAAAAGGATGGACAGAAGATGCACAGGCTGGAGTACAGTAGGAAGCTCGCTCTAACGCTGCCACACCTCTACTTTTTATTAGGGCCTGTTGTGATAGGCCAAGAGGTAATGGTTTTAGACTAAAAGTGGGTAGGATTTAGAATAGAGGTAAGGAAAAAATTTTTTACAGTGAGGGTATACTGGAACAGGTCACCTAGAGAGGTTGTAGATGCCCCGTCCCTAGAAACATTCAAGGTCAGGTTGGATGAGGCTCTTCGAATCTAAACTATTCTATGATGATTCTATGAAAACACAGAAGCGTCACACCCTTCTTATTCAGAAATAAACGTGGCAGGAAAATAGGGTTGTGGCCTTTTCTATGTATACAGTGGGTGCACACCCAGCATACATGTAGAGAGACCTCACAGACATTCACGTTAGGGCACAGCGTGTTCCAGACCAGCACCCTAAAATGCAAGGGACGACGTTCTTGACTGAAATAGTGTGGGAAGGAGTGGAAACAAACATTAATATGCTGCAGAATCTAGAGTCAAGGCAAAAGAGAGTATATAATCACATCAGGCAGGAACAACACAAAGTAACTCCCATATACCAGAGGCCACCAGGAACTCCCTGAGGGAGGTAAGGCAACCACTGTGGCCCTCGCAGACTGCAGGGCTTGAAAACAAGGCAGAGTTTTGTGCTCACACACTTGCAAAATTATCCATTTTTACAGGGT